CAAAGATTGACAATACATCCAAGGCTGAAAAGTTAGAGTTGGTTCATACTGATATATGAGGACCATCTCCAGTTTCATCTCTTGTAGGCTCACTATATTATGTCACCTTCATCGATGATTCTACAAGAAAGGTGTGGGTTTATTTTCTAAAGAATAAATCAGAAGTCTTTGATACCTTCAGAAAATGGAAGGCCATGGTGGAAAATGAGACTGGTTTGAAGGTCAAGCGGTTGAGGTCTGATAATGGAGGAGAGTACAGAAACAATAGATTCAGAGATTTCTGCGCAAACAATGAGATCAAGATGGAGACAACAATTCCCATGACACCGCAGCAAAATGGCGTAGTAGAGCGCATGAACATAACTCTGAATGAACGTGCCAGAAGTATGAGGATACATGCAAGCTTGCCCAAATTTTTATGGGCTGAAGCTATCAACACTGCAGCTTACCTGATCAATCATGGGCCCTCAGTTCCCTTGGATGGTGGAATACCAGAGGAAGTTTGGAGCAAAAAAGAAATAAAACTTTCACACTTAAGAGTGTTTGGTTGTATTTCTCATGTACACATAAATTTTGCTGAAATAAGTAACTTGATGACAAGTCCAACAAATGTGTATTTCTTGGTTATGGTGGTGATGAGTTCGGTTGCCGATTTTGGGACTACGAAAATCGAAAGATCATTAGAAGCAAAGATGTCATTTTCAATGAGTATGTGATGTACAAAGACAAGTTAACCATATAATCAAGTAGCTCCAATACCGAAGCTGAAACAAAGTAATTTGCTGAGTTCGAGGAGATTTCTGGAAATGATGTTCAGATTAGACCTGAAGCAGTTCAAGAAGAACCAGGCACACCGGAACTAAGATGCTTCTCCAGAATTCCTAAACCAACCCAGCGTTATTCGCCTTCTTTGCACTACTTGTTGCTGACTGACAATGGTGCACCAGAGTTCTATGATGAAGCAATGCAAGTGGAGGATTCAGTCAAGTGAGAGTCTTCCATGAAAGATGAGATGGACTTGTTGATGTCAAATCAGATGTAGAAATTAGTTGAATTACCATCAGGCAAGAAAGCTCTCCATAACAAGTAGATTTACAGGATCAAAGAAGAGCACGATGGGAGCAAACGCTACAAAGCAAGATTGGTTGTCAAAGGTTTTCAGCAAAAATAAGGTATTGACTACAATGAAATTTTCTCTCCAATCGTAAAATTGTCTACAATCAGACTGGTGTTGAAAATTGTAGCTGTAGAGAATTTACATCTTGAGCAGTTAGATGTGAAAACAACTTTCATTCATGGTGATTTGGAGGAAGAAATCTATATAAGGCAGCCAGAAGGCTTCATAGAGGCAAACAAGAAAAACCTGGTATGCAGGTTGAAGAAGAGCTTGTATGGTTTAAAACAAGCTCCTAGACAATGGTACAAGAAGTTCGATAGCTTCATGAGTAACAGTGGTTTTACCAGATGTCAATCAGATTATTGTTGCTACATCAAGAGGTTCAACAACAACTTCATTATTTTATTATTGTACGTTGATGACATGCTTTTTGCAGGCTTAGACATGCAAGAGATTATAAACTTAAAGCAAAAATTGTCGAAGCAGTTTGCTATAAAGGATCTGGGCGCTGCAAAGTAGATTCTTGGGATGAGGATTAAGAGAGACACAAAGTCGGTGACTTTGATGTTATCACAGGCTGAGTACATCAACAAAGTACTCTCCATGTTCAACATGCAAGATGCTAAACCAGTAAGTACACCTTTAGGTGTTCATTTTAGACTCTCCAAAGAACAGTCACCAAAGACGGAGGAAGAACGTGCACACATGGTGAAGGTGTCGTATGCCTCAGCAATTGGAAGTCTGATGTATGCCATGGTTTGTACTAGACCAAATATTGCTCATGTAGTGGGACCTGTTAGCAGGTACATGAATAATCCATGCAAGGTACACTGGGAAGCTATCAAATGGATCCTCATATATCTGCGGGGAACCACAAACAAAACACTTTGTTTCAAAGGTGGAGATACGATACTGACAGGCTATGTAGATACTGACTTAGCCGGAAATGTTGACATCAAAAGAAGTACTACAAGGCATGTCTATACTCTAGGATAAACCACAGTGAGTTAGGTTTCTCAACTACAGAAGATAGTTGCCCTCTCCACAACTGAAGCAGAATATGTCGTTGTTACGGAAGCCAGCAAGGAGATGGTTTGGCTCCAAAGTTTCTTGGAAGAGTTAGGCAAGAAACAAGAAAACAATGTCTTGTATTACGATAGTCAAAGTGTTATCCATCTAGCGAAGAATCCGTCTTTTCATTCCAGGATGAAGCACATACAATTGCGATATCATTTTATCCAGTCTCTTTTGGATGATGGGATTTTGAAACTTGAAAAGATTAGTGGAGCTCAAAATCCGGCAGACATGTTAACAAAGACGGTGACTACGAACAAACTGAAGTTGTGTTCAGCTTCAGTTGGCTTGCTAGAGTAACAAGACCATAAATGTTGTTGCATTGATCGAGGTGTGAAGACATATTAAAATCAGTCTTCAAGTGGGAGATTGTTGGAAATGTAAAAATGTTGGGAAACTTTTGGTGGGAAAGTGGTGCATTTATTGCACCGAAAAATGGTCAAAAAAAGGAGCATGATTATGTTGATTTTTTATTAAGGGATAATTACACTTAGTCCTTGCAGTTTAGGGTATTTTCAAAGCTTAGTCCTTAAGCTTAAACTATAAATACCCTAACTCATTTAGCTTCAAAACCATCCCAAATCATTTCTTTCTCCCAATACTAGAGAGATTTCTTGTGAGTAGTGAGTGTTTTGTAAACACATGTAAATTTTCTCTTTAGTAAAAGATCTGCAGCAGTCCGGAGACGTAGGCATAATAGGTTGAACTCCGTTATCAATTTCGGGTATTTTTTTCCACTTTTATTTCGCATTCTCACTAATTTGGTTATAAGAAAATTACTCGTTACTCGTTTTATTTCCCAACACGCCATCCTTCATAGTTAAGATATCATATGAATACATACAAAATTATTTAACTAGTTCATAGATGTGACTCTCGAGTTATATAAACTTACTAGTTAAATTTTACAGAATTAACAAAAAGATATAACGAGTTTTTAAAATTTTTAGTAAAATAATCAAAATAAAAATCTTATAATATAGAATTTGATATCACACAATCGATTTAAATTTTATTCTCAATAGTCATACACTCATACTAGCACGTTTTACGGTTACAATTTTAATTAGTTTGCAACTAGGGGTGTAACTGAACTGTTGGGTTATGGGGTCCAGCGATCACCCTTAGGGATTCTATCGTGTATGGGCGCAATATCGGTGCGTGACTGCCTAACCTGCCGAGGCCCACGTGTGTCTAGCGAAGCCCCTAGGCCCGCCCGCAGCACGCTATAGATGCGGGGCTCTGCAATGTCGAGGTGAAATGTGGGGGGTGCCCTACAAGAATCCACCTTGACTTGGGGGAACCCAGTGATCACCACTACAAAGATATGAGGTTAAAATTGTCCACCTACTTATCACCAATTGGTTTTAAGAATGAATGGTGATCATTCGCTTCAGAACTCTATGGTTAAGCGTGCTTGGACTAGGGAAATCCAAGGATGGGTGACCCACTGGGAAGTTGTTCAGAAATGAATGACTCGATCTTAACAACTGGTATCAGAGCAGGTTGCAAGTTCGAATCACCCAAGTGTCGTTGGGGGTGATTGTTAGGTTATGGGGTCCAGGGATCACCCTTAGGGATTCTATCGTGTATTGCACGATATCGGTGCGTGACTGCCCAACCTGCCGAGGCCTACATGTGTCTTACGAAGCCCCTAGGCCCGCCCGCAGCACGCTATAGATGCGGGGCTCTGCAATGCCGTGGTGAACTGTGGGGGTGCCCTACAAGAATCCACCTTGGCTTGGGGGAACCCAGTGATCACCCACTATAAAAATATGAGGTTAAAATGACCCACCTACTTATCACCAATTGGATTTAAGAAGTAATGGTGATTATTCGTTTCAGAACTCTGTGGTTAAGCGTGCTTGGACTAGGAAAATCCAAGGATGGGTAACCCACTGGGAAGTTGTTCAGAAATGAATGACTCGATCCTAACACGATATGTATACATGCATCATGCATGTATGTATGTATGTATGTATGCATATGTGTGTGTGTGTGTGTGTGTGTGTAATCACAATTCAACCATCAAATAATTTCATGAAAAAAGAGATTATTATTTTTCCTAAAGATATTTAGTGTATGTATGTTGTCAATAGATTAAAAAATTTCTGAATATATATTATCTTATAATTATTTCAGACTAGGGACGGAGTTATACACGGAGTGGGAGGCTCTTGCCCCTCCCAAAATTTATTGTTTAGTAACATTTTAAGTCTTTATCAATTTAAGTTTAAGTAACATTGGACTTTTGTCCCTAAAATTTCAGATTAAATACATAATAAGTTCTTATTATTTAGCATTAAGTATCTTACTCTCTTGATATTTAATCCCAACTCCGTTCATGCAGCGTAGAATTAAAAAAAACTTAACAATCACCATTATCATAATTCGGACTAAAGCTATTCTTCAATAACGGCAAGTAAATAGTTTAAGTGCACTTGGTACATTCATCGAACATATATTTTGACTATTATTATTACAAAATAAAGTTACGTAATTTTAATTTATTTAAATATTTATATTAAAATTTATTTTTAATATTTTTATTAAATTTTAATAAAAAAACAAAATTTAACTAATTGTGTCATGTCATATCTATAAACTTAATAACTGTTTGTAAAATTAATATTTTCTATAATTTTAGGTACTTAATTGATTAATAGTTTATAAGTAAAGGGTTAATGTGAACTGAAATAAAGTTACATGAATAGATCGAGAAAAGTTATTAAGTTGGGGACTAAAACTTACATCATCCGATAATTATGCTCTATAAATAATATAAAATTGAAAAAAGTATTCCCCTTCTCGCGTTAAAAAAAAACCCTAGACAGAGGAGAAAGGATTAAGCGATCGAAGCAATATCCATATTAAGGTTCGTTTTTCTATCTTTCCTAATCTTTCGTTATCGTATTCTATATTCGTACGCAGTTAAATTTTTCTAGGGTTTATTCGAAGTTCACTCTTTTTTGGTTGCCGAGAAATCATACTGATCGAAATTTGGTACTATTGGTATAATACGATCAAATTGAGCCGCGAAGTTTTATACTTATGAATTTGAACAATAATTTAGTTAATTAGTTTCGTTTTCTACTTAATTTTATCAATTAATGATTGCAAGCTGTATGTCGGTGAAAATTACTTATAATCTTGCTTGTGAAAATAACATGATATAGTAATATTAGTCTAATCGTAGTAGTAGTATAGTGTTTTCCCCCTTTTTATAAATAAAAATAACTTGAATTAGCTGAAAGTGGCATTGAAATTTTGATTTGAGCTTATTTTCATGTAAAAACTAGTAAAAAAAACATGGAAGAAGAATGCAGAGTGCACCCGGATTGTATCAATGCATCAAATCCATTCCATGAATGTGTTGAATATTGCTTTAGAAAGATTGCTGAAGCCAAGGCAAGAAAGGATCAAGAAGATACAGGTTTTAATGTTGTTCTTGTAATTCTTACATTAATGGGTTTTTGTTTGTGTACCCTGCCTTCTCCTCGATAGCTCATTAGAATGTTTAGGGCTTATCAACTCAATATCTCTTCCTTTCATCGCAGAAGCTGTGTTATCTGAGCATGGCCAGTATGCTAGATGTGCTGCATATCAAGAACAAGATGTACAATGTGGAGCACCAGAGCCGGAAGAAAATTCCAATGACGATAGTGACCACCCAGCTGAAGAGAACGTTGAAGTAGATGTTACAAACCTTACCGGGAGGCAGAAAAAATTATTTGAGTTGAGGCTGAAGATGGTTAGTTTGCTTAAACTTTCCCTGAAGTCTGTTCTTTTTTGTCATCTTTACGTCTAATTTCTTTACTGTGATTCCAGAATGAGGCAAGGAAAGCCAATCAAACAGCAATGGTGACTGAAAAGAAAAGAATGGAAGCTCACCTGAATCTAGAGGAATTTCTAAGCAAAATGGCTAGAGGAAAGGAAGAAAAAGATAGGAAAACTTCTGGATGCAAATGGCTTGGATTTGCAAAAGGCATATATGCTAGACACTCAAGAGGCAGCCGAGTCAAAATATAAGAAATGGGAAAAGGATCCTGCTCCATTTGGTTGGGATGGTATGATTCGAACCGCTACTTGTAATCTATATTTTATTCTATTATCTAGGTTACTCGTTGTCATATTTCATGGTTTGTTATATTACTCTTCCTTTTTTCGATTTCATACCACCAATTTACACACATCTCAGTTCTAATGTTGTAGTTCCATATAATGTCCACAATGCATTTCATATTTGTTGAAGTGTGGCCGGCCACATATTTCAAAATTGTATATGTAGCCCAAAAAAGCTTCTTATTATCGCTGCTGTAGTATAGAAAGTCTTAAGCGCGGTTTCCTTGATGTTTTTGCTTTTTCGATAGAAAATGAACTGAAAGCAGGGATAAATAGCAAAAAACAAATGCACTTTATTACTTTAATATGTCAATGAGTCTAATCTCTGTATTTTTATGGAGGGACTTACCAGTCTTCAATCAGAAGACATTGTACAATGCATACAAAAAGCGGACGAAGAACATTGATGTTGACCTAGAAGAATATAACAAAATGAAAGAAGCTGATCCAGAGTTCTACCGTGAAGCTTCGAGCCTCCAATATGGGAAGGTATGGTTGCTGATTTCTTTCAACGGTTTCTGGCCAATGTGATTGAAGTATTTGAATGAAAGTTTCTTACGTTTTGCGCAGGCACCTAAGATTTCAGAAGATAAGATTGAGAAGATGGTGAAAGAGCTTAAAGACCGGGATGAAAAGCGCAATTCGTTTAGCAGGAGGAGGAAGTTTCACGAAGAGAAGGATATTGATTCCATCAACGATCGTAACGAGCATTTCAACAAGAAGATCGAGCGGGCCTTTGGAAAATACACATTGGAAATTAAAAATAATCTTGAACGAGGAACTGCATTGCCTGACTAAGGTAATATACTCAGTTCGATGTCTTTGTGTGAATGCCTGTCCAATTCAGAAAGCATTGGGGGTGCTTTCGCATGGCTTCCTTGCATTCACAAATTCGTGGTTATGTATTCATTTTCTTAGAATCTGAACATGGCATCCTGGTTTGACCGGATGGTACTTATCAATGCCTGGTACTCGTACACCTCGGAATGTATTTCATGCATTCGAACCTTTTTCATGCTTTACATTCACTTGTTTCGATTTGGCCATGTCGTCGATCTTAAATGTGATTATTTATCATGATATCCAAGGATCAAAGACCGGAAGTACTTTGTCACACAACCATAGGAGGTATTTCGAGCAGCTTATCATATGCTACATCTTATGTGTATTGTATTTTTTCCGACGTGGTATTTCATAGCTAATAAACATCTGACGCGTAGATTAGAAAAAACAATCCATATAGTCGAGGACAAATTGCAGAACTATAAAAATACTTGCTCAAATTTTTGAAAACTTGGCTGATTTTCTATGCGACAATTTTTAAATTTTAAGTCAACTAGAATTCAAAAATTGACTAAAAATGGATTTTCCAAATCAAAATCTCACCGTGTCTAATATTACCTTAAATTGCACTTTCAACACTTGTGGTCACCTTAGTCTTGTACAATTAATGTATAACCTTTAAAATGTTTTTTTATTCATGTATGCTTCGAGATTAAAGGTTACTAATTTCTTCTTTGAAAAATAAGAATCATGAGTTTTGAAAATGGTCTGCAACACCAGAAGAGTAGAAGCAGATAACGGTCGAATATGTTTAGCAGACGAGACAGCCTGAATACAATAGGCCGCTGGTAAAAAAAAAAAGCCGGCGGTATTGATCTATGGCAGTAACATACAAGTAAATAGGCACATCAGGTAAAAAAAATAAAGTAGAAATACTGTCATCAAACACCAACAGATAAAGTTCAGACATGAATGATAACCTCATAATCCCACATATAAACCGATAAGCATTTGAGCGCTTCAAATCAAGGGAAAATCAAAGAAAACGTTTCAATTGATTATACGCCACAGTTTTGCCACGTTACTTGAATTTCAGGAGAAAGATTAAGTCGGCTAGAAATCGCCCGGCACATCGACCATTAAAGGGATGCAGATTTTCACTCGTCATCTTTCGGATGCTCATCTTCATCCTTCTTTTGTTGTGACTGGTAGCAAGAAAAAGTTACGATAACAGATCAGTAAATGGAAAATTGAGTTGAAGTACATGTTGGGTTATGCTGAGCTTAAGGAAACAAACCTCTGATTGGCCCGGCAAAGATGCTAGCAGATTTTTCACATTTGGGTCATTTGGGTCAACTCCAGGAAGCTGTAAAAGCCATAACACATCAGAATATATGCAATCGATGGAGGAACTGATTATGCATTTAGACAGGCAAAATCGATTTAGACTTACTGATGAAAGAATAGATGACATAAAAGACTGATCCCCTAACACCTTGCTGACATCTGACGGAGCTGATGAACCTTTTGAACCATCCTGCATGGACATCTGAAGTGCTGCGAGGAAGAAAGTTTGGCATTTAATTTAGAAGTGGATGATATAGATCCATGCATTTGACAATATTTTATATATCTAGAAGTAAGACTTCGGAGGTATAGCACCATAAACCAATGTGAAGTTAAATCCTGACACTCAATTGTGCGTGTAAAACGGCTTTTATAACTATTATCCTTATATTGTGGACTATCCAGACAACAATACTACGAACACTGCACTCAAAAGAATTGGTAGACCATTTATCCAGATAGTAAAGAAAGGTGTAGCTTGATGCAATTATATACATAATAAGTTAAAACAACCAACAAAATAAAAGGGCATACCCAAGGCCAATTCCTGATCGTCATTAGTTGCCTCAGACATTTGAACATCAGCCGCAGAAGAATCAGATCCAGGGGTATTCATTGACAATGCAAGGGCCTGCTTTAGCAAATCATCCTCATCCTGCCATAACATCAGTTGGCAAAACCCAATTCGAATCTCAAGTTGCACTGTCCAATGTTAAAAGATGGTAATTTGTGGAATGGTAAAATATATTGACTGCAAGGTAATACTTACCATTGGATCAGAAACTTTTTCAGTAGCAGTCGAAGTTGCATTCTGAGAATCAGACTGCGGTTGCCCTTCCTCTTCTTCCTCTTGTGTACTGGCTTCCCCAGCAGCTCTCTTGGCATCAGCTTCTTGCCTTGCCCTCTCCTCTTCCATGGAAACCCTTAGAGCAAGAGCCAGCTCTGGATCTATATTTGGATCCACACCAAAATCAAAGTCAGAAACACCGCCAGCTGCAGCTGCTGCTGCAGCAGCAGCAGCAAAGCCGCTTCCTCCTTCACCATCACCAGTGAACACAGGTGTGCTGGCATAGAAATCACAAAATAATATCAATCAAAAAATCGCCATTTGGTATGTAGCATAAGCTAAAAGGCACGAGCTGATAGCATCTTACTCAAATGTGAGAATTTATACATATATATATTCTGAAGAAAGAATCAGAAGGAACAAAGTGAAACCTGATAAGGACATCAGAAAGTGCATTCTGACTAGGAGAAACATGAACTATGTGACTGGCGTCATTATTATTAACAGATGCTAGAAGAGCCTCCAATTTTTCTGGCTTTCCATCTTCTTCCTCACCAAAATCAACAATATCAAGAGCTACGTTATTCTTTTTCAGCTTCTTTCCAATAATCTCCAATGCCTTTTTTTCATGCTTAATGGGACTGAGAGCATAAAGCATGTGAGAAAAAAAGGGTTATATTCAAACTGAAATAAACAAGCAAATCAAAGGCCAACATGATATACCTTCCAGCGAAAACTATAATCCTTTGCTGCTGATTTTTGTTTTGGCGATGCTTCAGAGCCAACTGAGCAATCAGAATTCCAGCAGCTAGGTTCATCTCACCCCCCATTTCAAGACCTGTGAAATGCATTGAAAAGTATACAGAGAAGGTGACAATGATGAGGCAGCTGATAGAATGGAAGGAAGATTACCTTCAATTCAGAAATGCGTAAACAAAATATTACATATTAATCATTAATTGTATGCTGATCTTGCATAAAATGACAAACTAAATTAAATATATAACTCCTGAATTCCACCAGCACGGACAAGTTCTCCATCTCTAGATTCTTAAATTAGACAAATCAGTACCACATAAAAAATCCAACTTGCTTAATTTTATCTTCCATAATAATAAAAAAACGGTAAATCAAAACACAAACTCACATGGGATTCGGTTCCTTCAACATAAGCTAATCTATTGCCACCACCAGTTCAAAGAACCCTAAACGTAAATCTTCAAATATGGATTAAACCCTAACTTAAGGAATAGGTGAATCAAAAGTACCGTGCATGCAAGACAATATTTTCCCGAGATCACTGGTGGGAGTAGCCAATACACTAACTCCTTTGCCCGCCATAGTCAAAATCCCAACCGTGTTTTCCGGATTAGACTGCAATTAATTTATCAAAACAAAATCAGACTCCCAATTCTTCGGATTAAACTGCAATATATTTATTACGTAAAAAAAACACTAATTTTTAACCTGGGTTTTAGCTCCACAGATAAGACTAACGGCATCAGCTTGGGCTTGAAATCGAGACGGAGAATAATCGCCGTTCCGCATCCATTCGGAATTATCAATGCATATCATAGTAGCCTAAATGATTGAATTGAAAACCCAAAATGAAAAGGAGAAAACCGATGAAACCCTAATTCTAGAAACGTATAAAGATAATTGAAGAATGATATCAATGAAGGATCTTCTTTGAATAGGTTACCTCTAGAACCATGGCTGCAAAAACGACGAAAGACGGAGAATAGCAGGCTTGGAAGAGAAGAAAATAGAGTAGATAGAGAGCACACCGATGTGTTCCTTGATTTGCTTATCTGCCCCTTTCATTTGCCTAAGTATATTTTTATAGGGTAAAATACATAAGGCAAAAATGGTACATGAGGCCCTTCACTTTTTAAAAAAATAAATATAATGTGGCTCTCCATTTTTTTTTCATTCAATGTGCCCTCCAATTTAAAAAAAAGATTCAATGTGGTCTTTTGACCAATATTTTCGGTCGTTGATCGACGGGGCCATTACTTTGTGTTGACTGGCACGTTAAGTATGTCAAATCCTTTTTTCTCTCAGTTTGGCCCTCCAACTCAAGAAAATAACTCAATCTTATCCTCATATTTTCTCTTATATTTTGGTTACTAAACTTTAAAAGTTTTCAATTTAATCACTCAACTTTTGAATTGCTCCTATTTTAATCATCATGATTTATTTTATTAATATTTATGTATGATGTGGCATTTATTCTTTTCAACCAAAGATTTTTTTCTTTCATTACCAGATTCAGTGAACCCAAATTGAACTTGTAAAAAATTGAAAAACTGGGGATGAGCTACTTGACTAGGTAATGAAGGAAAAAAATCTTAGTTGATAAGGAAGAAAAATGAAATGAGACGATAAAAGAGGAGAGTGGAGATTTGGAAATATATAAAGCAAAGTGAATATTTTTTAATTTAATTATATTTTTTGAGAATATTTTTTTGTTTCAATATGTTTTTAAAATTTTAATTTAATTAATATTATTTTAATCATATATTAATAAAATAATAATAATAAATATCACATCATACATAAATATTAATAAAATGTTGAGTGATTAAATTGAAAACTTTGAAAGTTTAGTGATTAAAACATAAGAGGAAAGATAGTTGAATGATGAATGATATAATTTTCTTATTTATAACAACATTAAATAGAAATAGGAGGGTCATATTGAGTTATTTTCTTAAGTTGGATGGCCAAATTAAGAGAAAAAATGCATCGTCAGCACAAAGTAACAGCTCCATTGGTCAATGACAAAAAACGTTGATCAAAGGACCACATTGAATCTTTTTTTTTAAATTGGAGGGTCACATTGAGTGAAAAAAATGTGAAGGTTCACATTGGTTTTCTTTTAACAAAGTGGAGGGCCTCAGTATCCTTTTGCCAATACATAATCAATTAAATTAAAGGATTAATTATACCATTAACCACCTAACTATTGACTCCTTTCATTTTGACTACTAATTTAAAAAGTTAATCAATCAAGTCACCAAACTATTTAAATACATTCAATCAAGACCCCTTTTTTATTTTGACCAGTAATTTTAAAATTTTGTCAATCAG